AAGGCCCGGAGAGACAGTACTGTGGGTAGGGTGCTTTCCACGCACATGGCCGACCTGGGTTAGATCTCATGTGATCCTCTGAGCACCACCAGGACTGACCCCTGAGCACAGAGCAAGGAGTAAACCCTGAGCACCACTGGGTGTGGCAAAAAAAAAAAAAGCAAAGATAAGCGTATTTGACCTGGGCTGGGCCCCAGATAGGTGTGTATGTGATTTTGAATTGATGGGTCTAAGAGTACAGTGGAGAAGGTGCTTGGATAGAAGTTGGGGGGTGAGGAACGGAGGAGAGCGAGCACCTCCAGCAAAGCGCTCATGGGCTGCAACACGAGCCATGCATGCAGGAGGCCCGAGTATCACCAGGGACAACCCCTGAGCATCAAGCCAGGTGTGTCCCCGATTTTTCTGTTTTTAACCATAAGCAGCATCCAGAGAGAGTACAGGAGGTAACCCACCTCAGTTCAGGAGGTAACCCACCTAAGTTCAGATCCCTGGTACCACACACAGTCCCCTGAATACAAAGCCAGGCTTGGCTCTAAAACCATACCAGAATGAAACAGAACCAAAGCACAGGACATGCTTCGTACAACATAGTTTTCAGTATTAATGGAGCATCGCAGAAGACAAAATCAAAACAGCAGAGTCAGGTGCTGATGCCACACAAAGGACTTTGATTTAGAGAAGTCTCTGAGGTCTCAAAGGGGTAAATGCCATGACCAAGCCTGTATCAGCAAAGGTAGGGAGCAGAATGCGGCTGGCTTCCCAATTAACTCACCTGAGGTCCCCTCTGACATGGCTCTCACCTGCCAGAGAGAAACAAGGCCAAGAGGAACAAGACCCCTGCAAGGAAGCCTGGGGGGGGGGGGGGGGGTGTGGGCAAGGTCTGGGCTCAATCCCTGGTACTGCATGGTCCCCACGCACTACAGGGCATGACTATCCACACCTATTTATTTTTTTTTGGTGGGGAGTTGGGGTTTGGGCCACACCTGGCGGTGTTCAAGGTTTACTCCTGTCTGTATTTGGGGTTAAGGGGGACAGAAGGAGTGCTGGGGATCAAACCCAGGTCAACTGTAGGTGGGGCAAGCGCACTACCTGCAGTACTATCTCTTTGTGCCTGCCCACAACAATCAAAGTTTAAAAAGCAAGGACCAGGAAACAGGGTTTTAGGAACCAAATATGCCCATACACAAATACCAATGATGATAAAGACAAAGGGGGGTCTACTCACAACAGGCTAACGGGAAAAGCAAGCCATAAGATGCAGGAGAAACAAAGAAATGGGCAAAACTGAAAGCAAACTAGAAAGAGAATCAAAATACCTATGAGCTAATAGGAGCAGAAATAAGGTGATGAGGGAGACAGGAGATTTCGGCTTCTAGATCCAACAAAGGATTCTATCCCTTGCCCACCCAAGAAACTGGAGAAGCATAATGAACGTTTGAAAAAAAAAAAAACCAGCTAGACTAAAAGTCGGAGGGCAAATAACAGAACTGAAGCACCTAGAAAAGTACACACCAAGCTAACAGTGTCAGCGTGGTCAAAGGGGCACCGGCACCGTGAGAAAGGAAGAGGGGGGAAGGCGGGCTCGGCATTTCTGTTATGAGCCTGAACATTTCTGAAATCCGATGCCTAAACAGATGGGGAGACTCCAAATGACAAGGAAGACGGTCGACAGATAACATCTGGCCCCTCCACCGGAGAAGAATGCCTCCACTTCAGTTCTTTTCTCCTTCATCCCCTTCCAACAGCCCTCCTTGGCGAGATATGAAAAGAACGGGGAGGCTTTAAAATGCATCTCCATTGACCTGTTTGCCAAAAAAACCAGGTATGACGGATTGTAGGTATGTCAGGTTATTATTTATCTCTTTGCTAAGTGTGCACTTTATTTCAATCTTTTAGAAGAATAATTTTTTTAAAATTTTTTTCCCTTTATTTTATTTTATTTTTTTTTACAGTTGTAGATTTCCAATTTTTTGTGCTTTGGTTTCAATTATACAATGATCAGATACCCATCCCTCCACCAGTGCCCATTTTCCACCACCATGGATAATATCTCCCCACCCCCATGCCCCCATCCCCCCCTGCCTCTGTGGCAGGGCAATCCCCTGTGTTCTCTCTCTCCTTTTGGGTGTTGTGGTCTGCAAAAGAGGCATTGAGTGGCAAACATGTTCAGTCCATAGTCTACTTTTGACATGCATCTCCCCTCCTGGGAGGATCCTCCAAACATCCTTTATTTGGTGCTCCCTTCTCTATCTGAACTGCCCTTTCCTCTAGGATACCCGGCTGGCCTCTAAGTTATGGAGTAATCCTCCTGGTGCTGATCTCAGCTATTCTTGGGTATTAATCTCATACTTTGTTACTTTATATCCCCCAGATGAATGCAGTCTTTCTACGTCTATCCCTCTCTTTCTGACTCATTTCGCTTAGCATGATACTTTCCATATTGTACCACTTGTATGTAAATTTCATGACTTCATCTTTTCTAAGAGCTACATAGTACTCCATTGTGTAGATGTACCAAAGTTTCTTTAACCAGTCATCTGTTCTTGGGCATTCAGGTTTAGAAGAATAATTTTTATTGTGGCAAGATACGTACATATTACCCACACCAAAATTTTTGCTTTTTTTTGGGGGGGTCACACTTCACGATGCACAGGGGTTTACTCCTGGTGGTGCTCAGGGGACCACATGGGATGCTGGGAATCGAACCCAGGTCAGCTGCATGCAAGGTAAGCGCCTACCCGTTGTGCTATTGCTCCAGCCCTCCCACACCATAATTTTTAATTGTGCTGTTCCAGGGTACCAAGCACACTCATTGTGCACCACCATCACTGCTCTCCAGCCCCATAATTCTTTGCCTCTTGTAAAACTGAAACTCTGTACTAGTTAAAATAACAGCTCTACATTCTCCCCAGACCCTGGAAGCTACTGCTCTATTTTCTGCCTTCTGATTTTCGCATCATGACATACTGCACAGTCTGGTCTTTCTGGTGACAGACTGAACATGCCCCAGGCCCATCCATGCTCTAGTACAGTACAGAGTGCCTTTCCTTTTGCAAAGCTGAATGCCACAATGATAATAATACGATACAATACCAATACAGTCTTTTGAAGGCTAAAATAATACTTCACTGTCATCTCTAACTGCAGCACTGTAGCACTGTCCTCCCGTTGTTCATCGATTTGCTCGAGTGGGCCCAGTAATGTCTCCATTGTGAGACTTGTTACTGTATTTGGCATATCAAATACGTCATGGGTAGCTTGCCTGCCGAGCGGGTGAAATGCTCTCGGTAGCTTGCCGGGCTCTCTGAGAGGGGCAGAGGTATCGAACTCGGGTCGGCCGGGTTGGCTTCGGGCAAGGCAAACGCCCTACCCGCTGTACTATCGCTCCAGCCCGTCATTTCTAACACACCTTGCTTATTCTTCCATCTGTTGATTAAAGATGGTTTCCACCTTTGAGATATTGTGAGTAATGCCACTAAGAACATGAATAGACCAACCAACTTTTTGAGATCATGTTTTCGATAACCTTAGGTATGTAACCAGCAGCAAAATACCTGGGTCATACTGTAATTCTATTTTTAAGTTTAAGGAACCACTATACCATTTTGTATAACCAGAAGCTTTGTAGCTTTTGGGTCAGAGAGGCAGTATAGTAGGGAGGGCTTGCCTTGCAGACGGACAACATGGGTTCGATCCCCAACATCCCACATGGTCCCTTAAGCCTACCAGAAGTGATTTATGAGTGCAGGGTGAGGAGTAACCCCTGAGCATCGCTGGGCATGGCCCCATTTCCCCCCCCCAAAAAAAACCCGAAGAAGAAATAGTAAAGAAGTTATACCATTTAAGTCTCCCCAACTCTGCATGAGGCTTATGAAACCCACGGACACATGCTGCCCTCGTAGTTATTTTTACTGCTGCTGCTGTTTTGTGATGCCTGGAAGTGACCCCAGGTCTTCACATATACAAAATAAGGCACCCCCCACCCTTTTGCGGGGGAGCTGGGGGGCACTGCAGTCATTCAAATGGGCGCAAAGGGATGATTCACTGTAGTGTTTATTTGCACTTCCCTAACAACTAGTAATGCTGAACACTTTTTATGTGCTTATTGTAATTCATATAGCTATTCTGGAGAAATGTCTATTCAAATGTTTTTGCCATTTTTCAGTTGAGTTTTTTGATTGTTGTTCATAAATTTTAGGAATTTTATACAGCCTGAATACCTGAATACTAATCCCTCATCAGATATGACTTCCAAGTATTTTCTCCCATATAAAGATGATCTTTTTCCTAGGGGTATCCTATGAGGCACAGGTCATTATTATTTTTTGCAGCAGCAAAAATAATTTGATCAAAATCCAATAATTAATCTGATTTAGATTAAAGCAACAACCAGAAAGCAAAACTCAATAAATAAATAAAGCAATGCCTTTATTTAGCCACCACACGCTAAATAAGATGTCCAGTGCTAAGACAAAAGTCGAGGAATGTCAGTTTTTTTTTTTTATTTCAATTTGCCATTATCTCAAGAGCTCTAAAACAATAGATACTCCTGGTTCCCAGAGCCACGGAGCAAGGGCTCCCCGCTGGTGTGAGCAAACCCCTCACTGGGCCCTGCTAACCAGTGGGACAAGCCGAGCTCATCTATGCTGGGTATGGGCCAGATCAATAAGAACATGCTCAGCAACAAGGCAGAAGCAAAGCAACACTTGCTAAGGCACTTGCCTTGTATGCAGCTGACCCTGGCTCAATCTCTTGTACCACACATGGTTCCCTGAGGTAACCCCTGAGCACAGTCAGGAAACCAAAGGGAAAGAAAAAGAAAGAAGGAAGGGAGGGAAAGTGAGAGGGAGGGAGGAAGGAATGGAGGGAGGGAGGGAGGGAGGGAGGGAGGGAGGGAGGGAGGGAGGGAGGGAAGGAGGGAGGGAGGGAAGGAAGGAAGGGAGGGAGGGAGGAAGGAAGGAAGGAAACAAAACTCATATGGAAGAAAGTAAGTTACTTACTTGCCTGCCATCCTGCCCCACATTTGTTTGACCTCTTACAACTGTCCGAATATTGTCATCCAGTCTCCTACAAGAAGTTGAAGGATAAGTTAAAAGAGTTAGCTAAGGCCACTCTACACACACTTGGGTCGAGCCTCACCCATGAGCAGAAAATCCAGGTACGTGGGACTTGTGACTGAAAACTCCAGGTTCAATGGAACTCCAGGTTCAAGTGAACTCCTCATCTCCCCCATTTTCCAGCAACTTGGCAGTCACAACCATAAGTCACCACTGGCTGGTACCACATAGTCTCATCAATGGCCTTGATCCAGAGACTCGCTATAAATCTCTCGGAAGAGAGTACAAAACAAGACACCAGACCCTGCGCCAGGCTGTTTCATTCGGGGCAACCCAGACAGGAGCAGGTGAGGAGAGCCAGCCCCGGCAGCCGAAAACCTCCAGAACTCAACTGCTGCCCTGCTCACGGCCGCTCTCCACATGCTTGGACAAGCCTCCCCCACGAGTAAACCTATTCCTGAACCAGGCAGCCACGTGACATTTCATATCTCATTCCAGTAATATCCCAAGAGTAGCGCACCACATTTGATGGGGTTTAAAGTAGAAGGTAAGCAATCTTAGAGGGAAATATATTTTTACAAACATGTGTGTGTGTGTGTGTGTGTGTGTGTGTGTGTGTGTGTGTAAAAGCACACAAGGCTCAACCTTTAATAACTTGTTAGTAATCTCTTCTAGAAGGGCTTAATTGCTCCTGGGTGAAATACAACAATCTTCACACACTTTCCTCTAAGAAACCTTTTTGGGGTCATTTTCAGAGATTATTCATAACAATCGCTCCAGCCCTCGAGCGATAGCACAGCGGGTAGGGCGTTCGCCTTACAAGCGGCCAACATGGCCGACCCGAGTTCGATTCCTCCGCCCCTCTCGGAGAGCCCGGCAAGCTACCGAGAGTATTGGATATGCCAGACACAAACAACAAAGTCTCCAATGGAGACGTTACTGGGCCCGCTTGAGCAAATCGACGATCAATGGGAGGGCCTTTACCTTTTACCTTTTATTCATAACAATACAAAATAAATTATTTTGGTTCTGCTTTGGGACAGGGTTTGGGGTTCAGGATGGAAACATTCGAAATACAAAATCTGGTGGTGGGAAGGTGTCATGGTGGTGGGACCGGTGTTCAAATATTAAATGTAATCAAATATTGTGAATTACTTCATAAAAACTAGCTAAATTACAAGAAGTGTAATTTATTGCACTTTGTGATTTATTCATTAGCTCCTGCAAATTCCATCTCCCTGTCCTGAAAAATCACACAACCTTGAAGAGATAAAGACTCTATAAGCACCTTGGAAGCAGGTGGGGCATAACAGGACCTGCAGAAGCCCGTTCATTTTATCCTGTTTTTATTCATTTTTGTTTTGAGGTCACACGCAGCAGCGCTCAGGGGATCACGTGGTGATGGGGATCACACACGCAAAGCACATCCTCAGAGGAATCTCACTGCCCCATCGTGCTGCCTCCTTCATTTCGTATCCGGAATCATCCAAAAGGACCAGTCTGAATTTTAATATTTTTCAAGGTGCTGTGATAACAAAGTTGCTGAGGAAGTTCAAATCAGGGGAGCTCAAATTACACCCCAAAAATCCTTCCTCAGTCCCTTTAAGAGGCTTAACGAACGAGAGCTATCTAGGAATTCATCATACAATCGGGACAGTGGACCAGTCTGTCGCATCCAGTTCTTTTCCCCGTGGAGCTCATGAGAGGCCAGGTAATAGCACCTCAGTCAGAGAAATTAATAGCAGTCATTTTCATTTTCCCTTTGAAGAATACATTAGAGGAATGGTAGAAGGAAGCTAAAAGATAACTGACAGAAAAGTGAATTTTGGATCATTATGGAATTTCCATTTTCCATCTTCATGGAAATATGAGTGGAAAAGATAGCAGATGCTAGGGAAATAAAACCAATAAAAATATAATAGAGAACTGGAGGAACAGTGCAGGGGGTAAGGCACTGGCATGTGCCCTCCCCAGACTATTTTGATCCCCAGCACCCCGTATGGTCCCCCAAGCACCGCCAGGAGTAAGCCCTGAGCACGGCTGGGTGTGGTATAAACCATCTCAAATAAATATACTTTTTAAATATATATACATATATGTGTGTATAATAATGTTTTTGCCTCATTTGTGGGGTGAGTGTTGGCAGGGCCACATCTAGAGGAGCTGAGGGGTGATTCCTGGCTCTGTGATCTGGAGTGACCCCTGGTGGTGCTCAGTGGTGCTGGGAATTCGATCCAGGATCACAGGTGACATGACCACATGCAAAGCAAGTGCTTACCTCCTGTAGTATCTATCTCCCCCGACCCTGACTCATTTTGTATTCTTTTTCTTTTCCTTTTATTTTTGGGCCACACCCTGTGGTTTTCAGGGCTTACTCCTGGCTCTGTGCTCACAGATCATTCTTGGAAGGGCCTGGGGAATCATACGGAGTGCCAGGGATCAAACGCAGGTCAGCCGCGTGCAAGACAAGCAACCCACTAGCTGTATTATCTCTGCAGCCTCCTGAATAACCTATAGTTTTTTTCAAAATTTCTTAAATTTACCATTTAAACAAAATGATTTTCAGTGTTTTCACAGATAACAATAATCTGGGGTGTTTGCCTTACACACGATTGACCTGGGTTCAACCCCCAGGACCACAGTCCCCTGAGCCCCGCCAGGAGTGATCCCTGAGCACAGAGTCAGGAGAAAGCCATTGAGCACTCCTGGGCAGGATCCAAAAACCAAAAGGAGAAAGAATTCAGGGCAGGAGAGATAGTGCAATGGGTAGAGCATTTGCCCTCCGTGTGGCCAACCAGGGTTCAATCCCCAGCACCCCATATGGTCCCTGGAGCATTGCCAGCAGTAATTTTTAAACGCAAAGCCAAGAGCAACCCCCGAGCATCGTCAGATGTGACCTAAAAATTATTGGAAAAAAAATTCAGAACCTAATTACCTAAATTTAATAACATACTTTTGATTATCAATAATTATACTACGTCACTTACCTTATTTTTAGTCTAATTTTGTTCACAACTTCATCTATGTTTGCCAGAGACTAAAGGGGGAAAAAAAAGGAGTTTCAATTAGTATTTAACCTTCTAGAACTCCCTTTTAACAGAGAAATTATAAGCTGTAAGGGCTATTTATAAGCTGTAAAAAGAATTATCATTGGATTAAGATACAACTTTTATGTACAACTGACTAGTTATAACAGGTACAGACCAGAAAGTTGAAAAATTTTTTTGTTGGGGGGATCCCACCAAGCAGTATTCAGGGCTTACTCTTGGCTATGCACTCAATAATAATTCCTGGCAGAGATCAGGGAACCATCTGGGATGCTGGGGGGGATTGAACCTGGATCAGTCATGTGCAAGGCAAGTGCCTGACCCACTGTACCATGGTTCTGCCCCCTAAAATATTTTACATGTACTCCTTTATAGAAATTTTGCTGAACTCTGATATACACAATTATGAAAATGCATAAAACAAAATACAGCAATGAGGAGCTGAAGTGATAGCACAGCTGGTAGCTGACCTGGGTTCAATCCCCGGCACCCTATATGGTCCCCGGAGTGATTCCTGAGTGCAGAGTAACCCCTGAGCATTGCCCAGTGTAGCCCAAAAATAAACAAACAAAATACAGCAGTGAAAATTAATAATTACAACACATGGGACCATGAACAAATCTGATATAATGTTGCACAAAACAAAAAAAACATAGAAGCGCATCTACTGTATGATCCCATTTGTAGAGTACAGAGACAAAACTGTTCTCTTGTATTAGAAACGAGGCCAGTGGTTATCTTGAAAAAACGGGATTGTAAGAGCAAACAGGAAGCAACTAAAAGTGTTATATTCATGTCTGATCTATGTGGGATAATTACATGGAAAGGAAGCCAGCCTTACACCAAAGACACATATACTCTACGTTATTATAATGTAAGAAATAAATAAAGTATATTTTTTTCCTAAGTGTATAAGCCCATTAGAAGAAAAGTCAAAAGTTAGGGAAATGACTCAAAGGGCAAAGCTCATGCTTTGCATGCGGGGAGTCCTGTGTCTAATCTCCAGTACAAGTTCCCCAAAACACCGCTGGGAGTGGCCCCAAAGATAAGAAAAAAGACAAGTTCAAGGATAAACTCTGGTTGTAATCTTTACTAATAATTATGATCTATGGGTGGAGAGTGAGTGCAGCAGGTAGAGGTGCTTACCCTGCATGAAGCAGACCTGGGTTCAATTCCCAGCACCACGTACACTTCCCAAGAAATAACCTCTGAGCATAGAGTCAGGGGTTACTTCTGGCAGTGCTGGGGGTGCCCCCCCCAAAAAAAATCACAGCTAAGAATTATAATTTACAAAACCAATAGCAATAGGTGCAATCTATGGAAAGGAGAATTTTAAATTTACTTCTCAGTGACTATGAGGGGCTGGAGCGATAGCACCGCGCGTAAGGCATTTGCCTTGCACGCAGCCAACCTGGCACACCCGAGTTCGATTCTTCCGCCCCTGTAGGAGAGCCCGGCAAGCTACCAAAAGTACCTCGCCTGCACGGCAAAGCCTGGCAAACTATCCGTGATGTATTCGATATGCCAAACACAGTAACAACAAGTCTCACAATGGAGACATTACTGGGCCCGCTCTAGCAAATCGATGGACAACGGGAGGACAGTGCTACAGTGACTATGAGAATTTCTAACTATCCTACATAGAATAAGAACTGCTAATTGTAATAAAGCCTAATTATAATAAAGTTACTTCTATTTTTAAAACAATGACAATAAAAACAAATGGACTACTTCTGACCTGAGTTGGGAGAAAATGTGAGGAAATGGTGCCCCCTAATGGAAAAGAGACAGTATAATTCCATAGCACCATTTTAACTCAAATTCAACAGACAACTTGCTGTAAGTTCTTTTGCCTTCTCCTGAAGCAGATAACGCTGCTCCTAAAGGAGTTTGGAGTGATGCAAAAATTGTGCTTATAAATTGTTAATGACAATCTCTGAGGGCAGGGAGTGGTCAGAAATCCGCCAGAAACAGACCTGTCAAGAGATCTCCGTCACAAGAGGTGGAGAAGTCAGACTGGGCTGTTCGCATTTTGCCCAACTGCTCTAACAAAACCAGTATTTACTTAGAATGTTTAGAAATCCGGGGAAAGACTGATGGAAACATGAATCTCAGAAAATAAAAGTCACTTTTAATTGAAGCAACTGTTGTCACATCTGTTACTTCCACAGTGAACTGGATAGAAATCGCCCCCCAGCACGGTAACAAGAGTGCAGTTATTAGGAGACTGGGTTTGGACCAACGCCTGTCTCTACCAACTTGCTGAATTATACCTGAAGGGCAAGCTGTTTTGGGTTTGGTTTTGTTTTTTTTTTCACCTTTTTGGGTCACACCCAGTGATGCTCAGTGGTTACGCCTGGTTCTGCACTCAGGAATTACTCCTGGCGGTGCTCAGGGGACCTTATGGGATGCTGGAAGTCAAATCTGGGTCAGTCACATGTGAGGCAAATGCCCTACCCACTACCTCCCTAGCCCAGGGTGAAGTGTTTAATGTCTCTAAGATTCTATTTCTCTAAGAGCAAAGTGGGCTTTCGTATTCTCCTCTTGTTTAGATCTGCTGGAATTCATTCCTTTAAAATAAATAAATAACCTTGTGTATTTTTCTTTTTATATCACTGTATCACTGTCATCCTATTGTTCATCGATTTCCTCGAGCAGGCACCAGTAACATCTCCTTCGACCTAGCCCTGAGATTTTAGAAAGTGCCACATTCGAGACTCTTTCAGGGTGAGGAGAATGAGACCCATCATTGTTACTGGTTTTTGGCATACTGAATACGTCACGGGGACTTTTCCAGACTCTGCTGTGTGGGCAGGATACTTTTGGTAGCTTGCCAGGTTCTCCAGAGTAAGGACTAGATAATAAGATGTCACGGCCGTGCAGTTCCAGGAGCTGGGTTTTATAGTCTCTGGGTCTTGATGGGATTACACGCGCTGGGGACAGTTGATGGGTGTAACGCCTATATACTGGAAGATGGGGGATCTGGGTGGAGGAGGCCCAGTCCCAATCAGAGCAGGCTTGGAGATCTACGCCCCGGGTCCCGCACACCTGGGTTCCTCTGCCGGTTCCTTCATGAGAGAGGCTCGTCTGAACGTTTGGAGAGTGGTCTTAAGTATGGCTGTGGCTGGAACCGGAGGTCTTCAGCTGCCCTGGAGGAGGGCGGGTTGAGTTTCCCTCCCCACCCCAAGCAGAGCCCGGGCAGCTTTTTTTTTTTTTTTTTTGCTTTTTGGGTCACACCCAGCGATGCACAGGAGTTACTCCTGGTTCATGCACTCAGGAATTACTCCTGGTGGTGCTCGGGGGACCCTATGGGATGCTGGGAATCGAACCTCGGTCGGCTGCGTGCAAGGCAAACGCCCTACCCGCTGTGCTATTGCTCCAGCCCCCCGGCAGCTTCTTTTTATATATAGTTAAAATATTAGGGCAGGGGAGATTACATTTTCACTTAATTTTGGAGATAAAAAGCATCCTGGAATCCACTAAGGATGATTAACAAAGAGCTTCATATGCAACATTACTAAAATTCTTAATGAAATTACTCTTTGTTTTGGGTTTTTTGTTTTTATTTTTGGTTGGAGTGGAAGTCATCGAACTCAGGGCCTCACATGAAGCATGTTCTGAACCACTAAATTCCACTCCTAACGCTAATTTTTAAAATAAATTGTAAAGGCCAGAATAATCGTATGGTGGACAGAGAGCTTTCCTTGCACACGGCTGATCGAGATTCGATCCCTGGCATCCCATATGGTCCCCCTAACCCCACCAGGAACAATCCCTGAGCACACCACTGGGTGTGACCCAGTCCTCCCGTTGCTCATCGATTTGCTCGAGCGGGCCTAGTAACGTCTCCATCATGAGACTTGTTGTTACTGTGTTTTGGCATACCGAATACATCACAGGGAGCTTGCCAGGCTTTGCCGTGCGGGCGAGATACTCTTGGTAGCTTGCCGGGCTCTCCGAGAGGGGCGGAGGAATCGAACCCATGTTGACCGCTTGTAAGGTAAACGCCCTACCGCTGTGCTATCGCTCCAGCCCAGGTGTGACCCAAAAATAAAAAAAAATAAAATAAATTTATCTGAACTTTCCTAATCACACCTCTAATGAAAACGTCAAGTGGTTATCTTCAGTAACTGACCAGAAGACCAATCACTGAATCAATGTTCCCAAGCCTGCCTGCTCTTCAGAACCACCTAGGGACCCCTACTGGATAGAGAAACTTGGTTCCAACCCTCCCGGACCTGATGAGTTAGAAATGTCTTGGGGCCAGAGTGTCATGACAGTGGGCAGGGCATTTGTCTTGCACACAGCTGGCCTGGGTTCGATCCCCAGCAGCCCACATGGTCCCCCGAGTCCTGCCAGGAGTAATTCCTAAGTGCAGAGTAATAGATAACCCCTGAGCACTGCCAGGTGTGGCCCCAAAAACAAAAAACAAAAAATTAAAAGAAAAAAAACAAACAAACAAGAAATCTCTGGGGACCTGCTCCAATCAGAAAACCAGAGACAAGCAGCTGCTATTCAGCCGAAAGCCAAACATACCCTCATCTGACCGACACATATGCATCCAACACACTGTCCTCTCTGAGTCTCTGAGACTGACCAGAACCATATGTAGATCTTAAATCAGCTAACTACATCTCACAAGTATTTACCTGCATATATTCATAAAGTACATCAATGGGCTTTCATCTTGAGATTTCAGAAAAGCTGAGAGAAACGACTGATTACACCACTTCTCTCTATTATTACCTTTCATTACAATCCATGGGGGCTGGGTTGAGAGAGGAATTGCTGGGTATAACCCTGGCTGCAGAAAAAAAGCGAACCCTGTGCCAAAAATTTTCTGAGTTTCTTAAGAAACTCCACTATGGGCCATCACGTACACAGGGCTGTAATAAAAGAAGTTTTTTGGAACTTGTGCCTCTACCTTCACCTCTTTTAACTTGACCCCAGGCATCACTGGCCCCCAGAGCAATGCCAGGAAGTGACTCCCAAGCACTATCACCTATCACCCAAAACCAAAACAGACATAAAAACAGACTGGCTGAGACTTGTAGTTCAAAGGAGAAGTCACCTTGTCACTTTCTTTTCACTCTGATTGGACCAAACAGAGCCCTGAGGATTCCCTGATACTTATATGGGTGCTGGACCCCTGACAGGGTAGTCCTGGTCTGCGGTCAGCAAATCCTGCACCGCCCCTCCTCTACCCTTACTCACCTTTCTCCTTATTACCATACAAAAGAAAAAAAAGAAAAAAAGAACAGGCCATTTCTCTAGTTCTTCCCTTATATCCCTGGATAGCCAGGGGGACATTCCCTGCCATTCAAGTTTTGGCCAACCAGGCTAGTGTTTCAATGCAAAGGCCCCAGGACATGGTGCTGCATGTGGGGGGGGGGGGGGGGGGTTGTTGCGGTACTACAAGGAAGGCAAGTGCTTTAAGCCCTGTACCACCCCTCAGGCCCTTCACTCCCTCCACTTTGGAATTTGCTCTAAGCTCTAAACTTATTCTCAACTACCTTCCCTTGGGCTGGAGAGACAGTACAGCACGTAGGGCATTTGCCTTGCACGTGGTCAATATGGGTTCAATATTTGGATATTTGGCACTTCATATAGTCCCCTGAGCCTGCCAGGCATGATGCCTGAACACAGAGAGTAAGCCCTGAGTACAGCAGGGTGTGGCCCCAAAAGAAAACAAACAAATAAACAAAAATATACCTACCTTCAGTTATTCAAATACAAGGCTGGACGGCTAGCTGAAAGGGCTGAGGGCATGCTCTGCACGCAGGAGGCCTGGGTTCAAGCCTAGCACTGCAGCACCCTCTGAGAACCACCAGGAGTGACTCCTGAGCACTGAGCCAGAAGCAGCCCCTGAGAATCACCCCTTGTGGTGGCCCAAATAAATTCATTCATTTCATTCATCATCCTGTTATTCGTCGATTGCCTCGAGCAGGCCCCAGTAACGTCTCTTCCATCCTAGCCCTGAGATTATATTCAAGGCTCTTTAGGAGAATGAGACCCATCATTGTTACTGGTATTTGACATATTGGGTACGCCACAGGGAGTTTGCCAGACTCTGCCGTGTGGGCAGGCTACATTCGATAGCCTGCAAGTTTGTCCAACATAGGAATGAGATAATAAGATGTCATAAAAAGATGTCTTGATAAGATGTCGCGCGGCCCCACGTGGCTTTGTCCCTCTGCCAGTACCTTCATGTGTGAGGAGAGTGGTCTCGGCATGGTGGTGGCTGGTCCTGGAGGTCTTCCGCTGCCGGAGCCCTGGTCGGGGCGGGGAGGAAAGCTCAACCCGCTCCCCTCCAAGGGACCCCGGTGAGGAACAGCCAGGCGCAGGGGCAGGAGACTGCGCTGGTCTCGTCCGGGAGCTGGATTTTATAGTCTCTGAGTCTTGGCCGCTGATGGGATTACACAGCGCCAGGGGGCCAGGTAGTGGGTGTGACCCCCGCCTACTGGAATTTGGAGGATCTGGGTGGAGGATGCTCAACTCCAATCCGAGTAGGCTTGGAGATCTCGGCCCCGGAACCCACGTGGCTTTGTCCCTCTGCCAGTACCTTCATGTGTGCGGCCCAAATAAATAAATTAATTAATTAAGGAAACCAAATACACAGGGCACAGAAGAATAAATAGCTCATGAGCTTCAAATACCTCCCAAAGAAGCAGAACCTAACAAGCATGTGAGATTGAGGTCAATACCAGGTGCCATGACATGTGCCAAGCAGGCTGCTGGCCACATGATGCTGTCAATGACCATTTGAGAAAGCAAGTGATTCCGAGTTTCGTCACTGCCAGGTGTCTATGAACACCGGAACTTGGGGGTGTGACACTGGGCAAACACCAGCTGAGCACCACAGCAATGCAAATAAAGCTCTACAACCAGAATGGGATCAAGGAGCGTCACAGCTAAAAAGTGTGTAGGGCAATAGTACAGGGGGGAGGGCGTTTACCTTGCTCGTGACCAACTGGAGTTTTTTCCCCCGGCACCTCATATGGTTCCCTGAGCCCCGTCAGGAGTGATCCCTGAATGCAGAGCCAGGAGGAAGCCCTGAACACTGCAAGGTATGGCCCCCAAATTCAAACAAACAAGACCCTGGCAAGTAGAAGCTGAGAGAAGATGAAATTTTGCAGTCTGCTGTAACTTAGATGGAACTGGAGAGTGTCATGCTAAGCGAAGTGAGTCAGAAATGAAAGATATGCAGCAGCTGATCTCACTCACTAGAGAGACAGAGAAGGGGATTAGACAATGATCGAGGGCTAGGGGAGGGAGAGGCAAGGGACTGTGAGGAAGAGTGACAGGAATCTTGAAACACAGCTGGAAGGACTGATGTACAGCTCTGCAGCTGTAAAACAACTTCCATGGAACTATAAACTATGTTACCACGATTAAAAAAAAAGGCATTTAATTTAAATGAAAAAGTGGGACCAGAGAGATACTACAGAGGTTAGGGAGCTTGTCTTGCACACAGGCAATCTGGGTTGAATCCCTGGCACGTGCCAGGAGTAATTGCTGCACGCAGAGTCAGGAGTAACCTCTGAGCATCATCGAGTATGGTCCAAAAAATAAACGAACAAAAAATTAAATTCATTTGGAAAGTTTGAAGAAAAGACTGTTTGGAAGAGCCAGAGTGATGATAGCACAGTGGGTAGGGCGTTTGCGGCTGACACGGATTCAACCCCTGGCATCCTATATGGCCCCCCAAGCACTGCCAGGAGTAATTCCTGAGCACAGAGCCAGGAGTAACCCCTGAGCATCTCTGGGTGTGACCCAAAAAAAAAAAAAGGAATGTTTGGAAAGATAAACGGCAAAATACTGATAAGAATTGTTAGCACTAGCCATGTATTCAACTATGTATTTCCATCTAGATGGCCCAAACATTCAACATTAGCTCCCCTTCACTCTACCTACCACGAACTCTGGCTTCCTTCTTACTCCCACATAGGGGCAAAGGACCAGCCCTCACTCGGGCTTCCAAACTAGAGCACAAATCTCAAAATCTTTAATTGGTCCCACGCTGCTCAAATTAAATTCCATTTCCACAGTGATAACTTCTTGAGACCCTCCAACTAACTCAGGGCCCTTAGAGTTATCATTAAGATGAGCTTTTTTTTCTCCCCTGGTTTTTGAATTATACTTAGCAACTCCGGGGCCCTTGGAGGGGAGCGGTTTGAGCTTTTCTCCCTGCCCTGGCCAGGGCCCCGGCAGCCGAAGAACTCCAGGACCAGCCACCACCACCATGCTGAGACCACTCTCTGCACACCTGAAGGTACCGGCAGAGGGACAAAGCCACGTGGGTTCCGGGGCCGAGATCTCCAAGCCTACTCGGATTTGGGCCGAGCATCCTCCACCCAGATCCTCCAAATTCCAGTAGGCGGGGGTCACACCCACCAACTGGCCCCCTGGCGCCGTGTAATCCCATCAACGGCCAAGACTCAGAGACTATAAAAACCAGCTCCCAGAACCGCACGGCCGCATTTGTGGCCGCGCGACATCTTATTATGACATCTTATTATCTCATTCCTACTTTGACAAACTTGCAGGCTATCGAATGTAGCCTGCCCACACGGCAGAGTCTGGCAAACTCCCTGTGGCGTACCCAATATGCCAAATACCAGTAACAATGATGGGTCTCATTCTCCTAAAGAGCCTTGAATATAATCTCAGGGCTAGGATGAAGGAGACGTTACTGGGGCCTGCTCGAGGCAATCGACGAATAACAGGATGATCTGTGATCTGTGACTTAGCAATGCTCATGGTGTACTCCTCACTCTATGCTCAGGGATCACTCCTGAAAGTGCTCAAGGGACCATATGTGGAGCAAGGACTCAAACTGGGGCCTGTGCAAGGCAAGGGTCTTGGTCTCTAGACTCTATCTCTGGCCCCCAAACTGTTTTCTTTACATCCCAAACCTTATTACTGTCATCATAAAACAAGCATGACCAGATTGTGGAGAATTTACCATTCAGTGCTCAGTTACTGGGTTATTTCATATTGAATATTAAATGATTATTCAAGGGCCAGAGCGATAGTACAGCAAGCAGGGCATCTGTCTTGCACGCAGCCAACCTGGGTTCAATCCCCGGCATCCTAGATGGTCCCCCAAGCACCGCCAGGAGTAAGTCCTGTGGACAGAGCCAGGAATAAGCCCTGAGCATTGCTGGGTGTGACCCAAAAGCCAATAAATAAACAAATAAATAAATATTCAGGTACTCAGTAATTCCTCAGCATAAAGCCAGGAGTTACTCCTGAGCACTGCCAGGTGTGGTCCAAGAAACAAAACAAAAAACAACAACAAAATTGGGGGTGGAGAGATAGTACAGGTCAGGTACTTGCCTGCAGGAGGCCAAATTTCAGTTTGATCCTGGTACTGCACGCGGCCCCATGAGCACCTGCAGAGGTCAATCCTAAGCACTGAGCCAGGAGTAGCCCCAGAGTATCACCAGGAGTGGCCCAAGCAAAAAGCCTTTTCCCTTATCAATTCTATATCTAATTACGGGAGGCTTACAATCTAAGGATTCAATTTCAAATAATTTAATAACTACACAAAAGTCCTACACTAATGCAGCAACAGTATTTGGTACTAGCTGACCCCCAATTGGTCATAATGGTACTTGATGTTGACTCACTTGTTTTTCAAGGCTCCAAAGAGTATGGGAATGCACACCAATCACGGGACAACATCAATCGTGACATTCAGGATGGGTCAGGAGGTGCTTAAATGAAGAGAACCTGAAATTCCACACTTACTTGCTCTGTTGGGAAGAGGGTATTGATGTACTCCACAGCATTGAAATCTGCTCGATCTAGAGGATCCTGGCTTGGAAATACCTAGAAGAACACAAAGGGTTATAAAAGACTTCATCTTTCTGTTGTATTATTTCTTTCTTCCACACTAGTGGTAAATTCCTTGAAGGAAAAAAATAATACATCTTTTTTCACTTTACAATGTTTCACACAACAGATACTCAATAAAATACCTGTTAAAAGGACGAGAGAGAGAGAGAGAGAGAGAGAGAGAGAGAGAGAGAGAGAGAGAGAGAGAATATACAGGAACTTGCATGCAGCCAGCCCCAGTTTTATCCCTGCTTATGGTCTCCTGAGTAGCCCCTGAGCATGGGTGGGTGTGGCACACAAACCACAACACACACACACACACACACACACACACACACACACCCCACAAGTCTATTAATCTTTAATTTTCAACATCTATAACGTTAACAGCATGGTACTAAAAAAAAAAAATTTTTTTTTTTTTTTTGATTTTTGGGTCATACCCAGTGATGCACAGGGGTTACTCCTGGCTCTGCACTCAGGAATTACTCCTGGTGGTCCTCAGGGGACCATATGGGATGCTGGGACTCAAACCTGGATTGGCCAAGTGCAAGGCAAACACCCAACCCATTGTACTATCGCTCCAGCTCTAGTACAATTTTTTTTTTTTTTAAGTAATCAGGGCTGGAGCAACAGTATAGATGCTAAGACACTGGCCTTGCACGTGACCTAGGTTCACATCCCTGATACACGATCATCTGAGCACTGGGTGTAACCACAAAAGAAATGAACGTGCAACCATGAAAGTCCATAGAGAACCTCCAGGGTGAGGAATAGAGAGTATTGTACACAGTCAGACTAAATGAGCTGACATGTGTGAATTTAGGGAGTTTCAAAAACAGAACTATGCACCATATCTTCGCAATGTTGGGGCCACAGAATCCTCCAGGCACTGCAGCGAGTTTCAGACAGCCTGGAAAATTGGAGAGCATGAAGCGCAGACTTGAACTTGCTGCCTCCTGAGAAATATAGTGCAATCCCTGCGATAGTTGCAACCTGAAGACCATGCAGGAAGATGGATCACAAAAGTGGTCAATCGATCCCCTGGCTAACTTTCACCAGTACAAGACTGTTATAATTTACAGAAAAGCAAGTTCCCTTCTGATTCTGCATATTAAATAGACAATGCTACAATTCAACCTTATTTCCAATCGTCCAAATAAGCTCTCTAAAATCCCTGTCAAGGGGCCAGAATGATAATACAGAGATAAGGCATTTGCCCTGCATGTGGACGACCCTGGTTTGAACTTCGACATCCCATATGGTTCCCTGGGCACCACCAGGTAACTCCTGAGCACAGAGCCTGAAGTAACCCTTAGGCATCGCCAGGTGTGGCCCAGTAACCAAAAAATAAATTAATTAAATTAAATAATTAAAATAAATAAAATCCCTGTCAAAGAGCAGCCGTGTGCACTATCTAGTTCTTTCATTAGAGTCCACTGAGTCCAAAGAGCAAAGGAAACTGATCTTTCATCTGGCAGCTGGAGTGAGTGGGAGAGCTGTGTGGCCTAAGAAAAGTGGGGATGAAAACCACTGACCAGTAGTCTTGCACAAGTCGTTGACCACGTGCCAAAGGCGCTTTGTCTGGGTCAGTGTTCTTAGAAAACATTCTTAGAAAAACACATGCAGTGCCTAAGCAATAGTAGAGTGTCCAGGGCATTTGTCTTGCACAAGGCCAGCCTGGGTTTGATCCCTGGCACCACAAATGGTCCCCCAAACACATCCAGGGAGTGATTCCAGAGGGAAGAGCCAGGAATAAGCCCTAAGCATTGTCAGGTGTGCCCCCCGCCCCCACACACCAAAAAAGAAAAGTAAAATGAATCCAGGGCCACAGAGATAGTAGACCAGGTAAGACGGACCCTCTCACTGCATATGGTCCCCCAAGTCCCTCCAGGAGTTATCCCTTTGTATAGAGCCAGGAGGAAGTCCTGAGCACAGGCACGCATCTCCACTGTCTCCCCACCCATGCAGAAAGAAAAAGAAAAAAGAAAAACACATTCATAATTCTATAAATAGAATACAAATTAGTACACAGCAAGTCCACAGTAAGTATCAATGCCTAATAACTATTTATTATTGCTACTACCACTACTGTTTAACTTCAAAAACCTATCTAGGTGGGCCAGAGAGATGGTATGGAGTTCAGGCATGTGCCCTGCTCACGAATGACCCCCCATTTAATCTCTGCTGTATATGGTCACCAGACCACCATCAGGAAAGACAAAGCCCCTGAACACCAGTGGGTATGGCCCAATGCACCCTCTTCCCATCAAAATAACTGTCCGCAGCAGGAGAAATTAGCTCAAGAAGCTGAGCACATGCTTTGCATGCAGGAGGCCCAGGTTCAACCCAGCAACACCTGGTCCCCCAGGCACGACTGGCAGCAGTGACCCCTGAAGATAGAGCCAGAAGGAGTCCCTGAACACCACAACATGAGGCCCCAAACAAAGACAATCAGCCGCTGGTCCTTAAATGTGGCATAAACCTCCCTTTCTTAAAGCAGATTTCCAGCCTAATTCCTTGAAGGAAGATTTTCTCCCTCTATCAGCAGCAGCACCTCATAGAAGAATCAAAATCACTATTTCTTATATCATTACCCCTAAAAAGTTTACTACTTTCAAAGAGAATTCAATTGGGCTGGAGTGATAGGGCATTTGCCTTGCATGGAGCCGACCCAAGTTCAATCCTCAGTATCCCATATGGTCTCCCAAGCACCACCAGGAGAAACTCCCGAGTGCAGGGCCAGGAGTAACCCCTGTGCATTACAGGTGTGACCACAAAAGGAAAAATAAAGAGAAAGAGAGCAAGAGAGAAAATTCAATCAACTAAGGAGTCCTTTCCAGTAGCGAGGTCTCCTGGGAATATTCTCCAACCTAAACCAAAATAATCTGCTGTAGGAACCCCCAAATATTTTTTTACCCCCAAATATTTAATGTGTGAGAAAGGAGTCATTTTAGATGTCTGCAGAGGCAAAGACAACAAAAATTAAAATAAGCGGGACTACATCAAATTAAAAAGCTCTGCACAGCAAAAGCAATTCAAGCTGTAATAAAATCCTACTGAATGGAAGAAAATATTTGCACATAGGGGCTGGAATGATAGTACAGAGGGGAGGGTATTTGCCTTGATGCGGCCAACCCAGGTTTGATCCCTGGCATCCCGTATGGTTCCCCCAGCCCTGAGTGCAGAGCCAGGAGTAAGCACTGAACATTGCCAGGTGAGGCCCAAAAACAGATTTAAAAAACTGCACACAATACATCAGATAAAGGACTAATATCCAAGGTCTATAAAGTACTCACAAATCTCAACACAAAAAAATCCAAGAGCCCCATCCAAAGATGGGGAGAGGAGAGGAGCAGACACATCCCTAAAGACGTATGAGAAAATATTCATTATCATCTATTATTCAGGAAATGCAAGTCAAAACAACAGTGACATGTCACCTCATGCCAATGGGAATAGCACCATTAGAAAGTTTGAGGGACTGGGGCGATAGCACAGTGGGTAGGGTGTTTGCCTTGCATGTGGCCGACCCAGGTTCAAATCCCAGCATCCCATATGGTCTCCTGAGCACTGCCAGGAGTAATTCCTGAGTGCATGAACCAGGGGTAACCCCTATGCATAACCGGGTGTGACCCAAAAAGCAAAAATAAATAAATAAATAAAAAGTTTGAAAATGGCCAATGTTGGTGGGGATGTGGGGAGAAACGAACCCTCATTCACTGTTGGTGAGAAACTCATATAGTTAAACCTCTATGGAAAGCAAAATGGAGATTTAAAAAAAAAAAGGAGAAGAATAGAAGAACTTCCATAATTCTATGTGACCCAGCAATCCCATTTCTTGGCACCATTCAAAAGGATATATGCACACCTATGTCCACTGCAGCACATACTACAATAGCCAAGATATGAAAACCCAAATGAGCAACCACAGATGAGTGAATCAAGAGGCTGTGACCGATAATATAAACTGTGTATATTAGTATATGACATATACATAAATACTTAGCAGCTCTAAACAAGGACAAAATCATGCAATTTGCCCCCACATGGATGGAACTAGAGGATACCATGCAGAGTGAAGTGAGTCCGAAGGAAAAGGCCAAACACGGAATGATCTCTCTCATAGGTGGGACCTAAAGATACACAACGAGACAGCAACAAATGGCAAAGGCAATGGAACTGGAGAGCTGGTCCACGAACAGTGACATGTCACCTCATGCAGAACTGAGATCTGTGGAGAGGGGGAGGACCAGGACCTCCGGGACCTTGGTGGAGAGAAGTGCGTGCGGTGGTGGAACGATCTATGCAAGAAACCATTTACCGGTACTGGAAATCGGGTAAATTCAAAACCGGAAAATAAAAGGGGCGGGGGAGGGGGGCGGATCCGTTTTCCACGCCTCTCTCCGTCCTCCGCTTCAGAAATCCCAAGCTGGCAGCCCCGCAATTCCAGGCCACTACAGAAGGGTCTAGCGGAGGACGCTGCCACCTTTGCAAGACTGGTGATGAACCGCTTCCCATCACCCCCAAATCGCAGGTCGCAAACCCTGAGGTCCATGAGGTCCCTTCCTCGAGGCTCATCCCTTCCGAAGGGTCCAAGGACGACCCCGGCCTAGACTAACGGTGGCGCTCGGCTGGGACCCCTTCCTCCCTCCTCCTCCTCCTCCTCCTCCTCCTCCTCCTCCTCCTCCTCCTCCCCCTCCCCCTTTCGCCCGGTCCCGGCGGCGCCCAGCCCCCACCGCGGGCTCCGGTCCCGGCGCTCACCTGCTCGATGGCCAGCTGCACCTCGGGCGTGAGCTGCAGCACGGCTTCCAGCTCCTCCACGAACTCCAGCTCCTCCTCCTCCATCATGCCGCCCGCGGGCCCCCGCGCCCGGCCCCCTCGGGCCCGACCCCCACCCGCCGCCGTCAGCCGAGCCCCCGCACGCCCAGCCCCGCGTCGCAGCAGCGCGGCGCCGTCGGCCGCCGGGCACTTCCGGGAGGCCGGCACTTCCGGGGCCCGGGGCACTCTGGGATGCCGGAGGACTGACCTCTGGGTGCCCGCGACTGGGCGCCCGGCCGCGCCGAGCTTCCTCGGCCCGGGATGGCAGCGCCTGCTCGCCCCCGCGGGACCCCCGGCAGGCGCGGGGAGCGGCCAGCGCGGCGCACGGCCACGCCTCGACCCCGGGCCCGTGGCAGTAGTGTCCCCCCTGCCACCGGGGCAGAAATGAGCCCAGCGGGTAAGTGGGGGTGCCCAGGGCACTGTGAAGGATGGGACAGCGCATCCCGTCCCCGGGCGCGGAGCCACTGGACAGTTTTCCCGCCGTGTCTGCGGCGGCCCTTACGCGGAGCCCCCGAGCCAGGGCAGCGGGGAAGGTGCGGGCCCTCCTTGTCCAGCACCCCTAAGGTTTCCCAGAGAGCCGCCAGGAGCGATGCTCCCTGCGCACGGCCGCGTATGGCCCCCGTGAGCCAGTGCCCAGGCGCTGGACAGTATTTATCTGCTGTGACCTGGGCTAGCTCGAGCCCTTAGTCCCTTTCCTCCGCTGGCGAGGTGTGCGCTCGTGCACTAGTTACTGCATCTGCTCTCCTTAACCCGTATGAAAGTGGTGAGATGGAGTATCCAGAGGGTTATGCAAATGCAAGCCAGTCCTACTGGTAATGTTAGGGTGGCCTGTCCTTATGGATAAAGAGGCCAGATCGCCCTGTGGAACCACTTTCCCTCCAGGCTCTTTAAACACTAAAAGAATTGCAGCCAAAAGAAGAGTTGCTTTACCAGTTAAATATTGTGAAACTCCAAGATGGGAGAGTCCCACCGAGTTGGGTGTCTTTTTTTTTTTTTTAACCCAAGTGGTAATAAAGAAAAAGATTAGGGGGGCCCTAGTGATAGTACAGTGGGTAGGGCCGTTTTCCTTGCGTGCAGCTGACCCGGGTTCCATCTTCCGCATCTCTTATGTTCCCCGGAGTAATTCGAGTAATTCCTGAGTGCAGAGCCAGGAGTAACCCCTGAGCATCACAGGGTGTGACCCAAAAAGGGAAAGAGAAAAAACTAGGAGCAATGTAATTTGCAACAATGAAGGAAAGTTTAAAATATTAGTTAAAATATAAGTTAGCTCAACAGTAGAATGTTAACTCATAAAATCATGATTTTGAAATGTAATGACACGAAATATATACATAGCATATGTCAGAAAATAAAAGTGATCCCAGTTTGAATATGTGCTTTGTGCCTATAAAAATAAAGACAGGGAATAAAGAAAACAATAAATAGATACAATGAAATACAACTTTCCTGCAGGGGGTGAAATTGTACATTTTCCTCAAATGTCTACAATGAGTGCTTAGTATTTTTATGTAAATGCCCTTTTTTTAAAAAGGGGGGTAGCAATGCCTCTTATCTCCAATTATTTTTGTTACATTAAGAAATAATTTACATTTTAAAGGAAGAATTTAAGGGTCCAGAGGTATATTTCAGTGGGTAAGGTACTTTGCTTGCAGGTAAGGGACATCAGTTCAATATCCAGCATCACAGAGCACAGCCAGAAATGACCCCTGAGCACAGTGCCAAAAGCAGTCCTGGAGCACTGCCAGGTATGGCCCAATAACAATAATCATAATAATTTACACAGAGGAAATGCACCCTTTTAGTTGGTTACGCTTTAAGTTTTGACAAGTGCCTGTAGTCCTGTAAGGCCTAGGACATCCATCAGGCCTAGGACAGTGCTATTATCCTTGCAGATTTCCTCATGCCCTGCTCCCAACCCCTGGCAACCTGATTTCTGCCCTATCATTTGACTTTTTCAGAATATCATATAAATGGAATCGTATATCTCCTTTTGATTTTGTCTTTCATTTGTCATAATGTACTTTTGATTTCTCCATCTTACTGCTTGTTCATATCTTCTTGTGTGCTTTTGATTTTATGAAAATATCATAATTTGTTCATCCATTTCCTGGCTGGAGGACATTTAGGTTGTTTGCAGTTTGGGAAAGTTATGACTGAAGTTACTGTAAACATTCCTATGCAGAATTGAGGGTGGTTTCGCTGTGTTTCTTGTGGTGCCAGAGGACAAGTTCATGTGCTCTACCATCGAACTATATTCCCTAACTTCTTGCATAAACGTGTATTTCTCTTTTTTCTTTATAAATTTTCCCGGAAATGCAAATGCGGCCGTGCAACCTCTAATAGTCTAATTCTCCTCGGAGAACCCAGCAAGCTACCAAGAGTATCCTGCCCTCAGGGCAGAACCTGGCAAGTTCCCAGAGCATATTCGATATGCCAAAAACAGTAACAATGATGTGTCTCATTCCCCTGACCCTGAAAGAGCCCCCAATGCGCCACCGTTGGGAAGGACGAGTAAGGAGAGGCTGCTAAAATCTCAGGGCTGGGACAAATGCAGATGCTATCAGTGCCCGCTCGAGCAAATTGATGAATAATGAAATGACAGTGATACAGTGATTTATATATTTTGGAGCCATTTCTGGCAGTGTTCAGTGCTTACTCCTGGTTCTGTGCTCTAGGTATTACTCCTGGCGAAGCTCGGGGAAGCATATGAGATACTGGGAGTTGAACCTGGGTTGGCCACTTACATGGCAAATGTGTTGGCTCACTTTATGGCCCCATGCACTTTTCTTTCACTTGGGCAAAAACTAATGATAGGATTGCTAGGTTGAATGCTAAGTTTGTGCTGGAGCAATAGCACAGAGGGTAGGGCGTTTGCCTTGCACGCAGCCAACATGGTCGACCCGAGTTCGATTCCTCCGCCCCTCTCGGAGAGCCCGGCAAGCTACCGAGAGTATTCGATATGCCAGACACAGTAACAACAAAGTCTCCAATGGAGATGTTACTGGGCCCGCTCGAGCAAATCGATGATCAACGGGAGGGCCTTTACCTTTACCTTTACCTTGTTAGAAATTAATAAATTGTTTTCAAAAATGGCTATATTGTTTATTGGGTGTAAATGGCTAAAATATAGATTGCACACTACCAGCAGTAGTGCAAGAATCCTGGTTTTTCATAGTTCCATTGTTGTTTGTGTTGTTTTGTTGGTTGCTAGGAATTGAACACGGTTCCTCATATATGCAAGGCATGTTCTCTACCACTGAACTATATCCCCAGCCCAGAGGCTTTTTGTTTGTTTATTCGTTTGTTTGGGTTTGGGGCTATACCAGGTAGTGTCCAGGGCTGAGAGAAAGGACAGTGGGTAGGGTGCTTGGTTTGATCCCCGACATCCCATATGGTCCCCTGAGCATCACCAGGAGTGATTCCTGAGTGCAGAGCTAGGAGTAAGCCCTGAGCATCACCATGTGTGGTCCAAACCCTCCCTCTCCCTCCAAAAGAAAATAGTGTAGGAAGAAGATCATGGAGGTAGTGCAGAAGTTAGGCACACATGCTTTGCATGTGCAATACCCTGACTCATTCCCCATCTCTGTATATTTTGTATTTCCCCCCAGAGTGCTGTTAGGGTGGTCTTGGTGGTCTCCAGCACCTCAAGACTAGAGCAGCATCAAATCCTCGAATCCTCGAATCAAACCATATGATCTTTTTTTTTTTTTCTTTTTTGATCACACCTGACAATGCACAGGGGTTACTCCTGGCTCTGCACTCAGGAATTACTCCTGGCGGTGGTTTGGGGACCATATGGGATGCTGGGAATTGAACCGGGATTGACTGAGTGCAAGGCAAACACCCTACCTGCTGTGCTATAGCTCCAGCCCCCAAACCATATAATCTTGTTAACTGAATATTGAACCATATAACCTTGTGGACCAAATATCACTGGCCCTCAAGATCACTGCTTGGGAGGTCAAACAAACAAACAAACGAACAAAACACATAGGAAGATAGAAAAGAGACAGGTGGATACTAGGTTATTAAGTAGTTATAGTCTAGACTGATTTGTTTATATAAGCAAAAGAGGAAAATAGCTGTAATGCAAGGAGGAAACCTGGAAAAACAGATTGCACACGTTCAAGATAAATAAAATGTGGAAGTTTATAGATGTGAGAAATTTGGGATTGAAAATAGAAGCATGTGATATTCTTACAAGGAATAAATGATTTCTGAAAGCAGTTTTCTGTTGTGCTGTGGGGACAACATAGTGTTGATGACAAAATGTTATAGAAAATATTAAAAATTGAAGTATAAGGGGCAGAAAGACAGTACAGAGACTAAGGCACTTACATGCAGCCACCCCCGGTTTGATCCCCAGACCCTGAGCACTGCTGATTCAACATTTATATATGTAGCAATTTGAGCATCATGATCAATTCATGTACCATCTTTTCTTACCAATTTCCAAGTTTGCCCTGTATTCATGGTTATAGTGCCCTTGTACATTACCTCTTAATTTGTGTGTATGTGGCTTGGAGTTTGTATCTCTTGATCTCTTCTCTCATTTCTTGTAGAAAACATTTTTTTTCTTTTTTTAATAATGAGGCAGGATGAGGAGTGGAAGGGAAACTGGGGATGTTGGTGGAAGGAAGTGGGCACCATTGAGGGAAATGGGGTTAGAACATTGTATGCCCAAAACTCGATCATGAATAACTTTGTGGATCACTGTGCCTTCAGTTAAAAAATAAATTAAAAGTTATATTTTAAAATAAAATAAAATTAAGGTAACAATGATCTAATAATAAGTATGAGTAAGTTTTAGGGGTGCCTTGTTATCATACTGCACCTCTCTGCCTTGCAGTTTTATCAAATGAGCATTGAAATTCCATCTCCAATACTTAAAACCCTCAACTCTCAGAGACTCTATTCTTTGGTGTGAGAAAACAGTAGATTGGTAGAGGAGTCAGCACAACAAACTTTATGGAGTTTGGGGTACAGCTCTGAAAATAACATCAGAATAAAATGGAAAATTAAGTGGTTTCCAGTGAGGAATTTTGCTACTGTTTCTCACTGTGCCAAAAAATTA